TCTCTCTCTCTCTCTCTCTCTCTCTCTCTCTCTCTCTCTCTTTCCAAATTGTACCTGTAACAAGATGAACGCTTTTACCCGTTGTAGCTCCTTCAGTCGAAGGTTTATGATTCTTTCGCTGACAGGCTTCCATTCAATGATTCTGTCAGCCAGGTTGGGTTCTGCCAGAACACTAACACTGACTTGAGCTCGCGTCGTCATATCGACATCTGAGTAGAATGGCTTCCACCCGAAGAGGTTCAAGAGTCCAGAGCGTTGTCGTTTCGTTGACGACAGTTCAGCTACGTCGAGTTGGTATCTTGCGGTCTCATCAACTATCTCTTGATCTTTCCCTCTTTCTGATAAGATTTTCCAAATTTGCAGCTGTGAGTCCACATTGTTCGTATTATTCCGGAGAACGTTATGTGATGTGTTATAATGTCATTTCGTAGTCTGTCTCATCTGTTCAGATGACCGGGTAGTGCGCCCATTCACTGCACCCCTGACTACCAGAAGGCTTGTAGAAGATGCTGATAACAAGCTTTTTGCGTTCTTCCTGTGTTCCTCAACAGGTTACGCAGCCGCTTGGTTGGACGGGCAACGACTGAGTCGAGATAACGGCAGTGACATGAGGGGCAGGTGGCTAAGTTTCCCTGGAGATCTCGCCACGATTCCCAGCTCAGATGTAATATACAATAATGTTAATTGATTTGAGTTTGTATAGCAGAATTTTTAAACGAACTCTCGTGTAATGTTTTCAAGTTTGATGCCGTTGTTGACGTTAGTTTCGGTAGGATGGAATCGAAAAAAATCGATATATATCGATAGAATTCATTCATGACTGCCATCCCGTGACAAAATTATCAAGTAATTTCATGTTCACTACTGGGATAAGTGTAGATGACATTTGTTAGTTTTTTTCTTCCTATTTCTTTTAAAGTTATGAGACTGTTCTGTCATTGCCCATCATGTTCCGTCACCGCAGTAGTCGATTACCTTCGATTCGAGGCGAGCTTCACAGCAACAGTAGTAGCCATTGAATAAGTATATGGGAGATAACATCTTGACCTGCAGTCAATTCGATTATTATCCTCTTTAGAACAGAGAACGGTGGTTAGTGTATGAAGGTGCTCATCCATAAATGTGTCATATTTAAATACAGGTTTTTCGACAATAGATTTGCATGTTCATATTTTTGTAGTCTTATTAAAAATGCATTAAAAACTACGCAGTGCAGTTGATCTCTCAGGTGATTAACCAGTTCCTACTTTTCAGATCGTCACGGACATTCTTCAGTATGAAAAAGATGTTAGTTTACATTAGCTGGTGTTAGCTGCAGAGATCGTGTGATCGGTTAGCATTTTATTAATTTAATATTATATATTCTATGTTCGGAACTTTATTTTCAATACACCCATTGACATTTGTGCTTTATATCAGTGTCACAGCTGCTGTCTTATGCGAGAGGTGAAAGCTTAAACAGTCGTGCGTTGATATTTCTTCACAGCGCCTGAAAACTCTGTAACCTCGTTTACCTTGAAGGAACCGATGAGATAGGGGCCGAGAGGTTGTCGGTGTTAATCTGATCCCTGATAGATCAACCATCATATTTAAATAGACTGCTTTGCGCTGCTTTTCCGTATGAATTATTGTATCTTATTAATCCTGGTTTAATTGTTAAGACTTATTAGCCATTATAAAAAATACTGTTTAGAAAATGATGGCAGAAATCATGGACCAGTCGTCCGCTTTCAAGGGTGATAAGTTCGCCACGGCTATGACTGAAGAAGAAGACGAAGACATCACACCCGATTTGTGGCAAGAAGCTTGTTGGGTGGTGATATCAGCATACTTCGACGAAAAGGGCTTGGTCAGACAACAGTTGGATTCTTTCGACGAATTCATTCAGATGTCTGTCCAGCGCATCGTTGAAGATTCGCCGCCTATCGAGTTGCAGACCGAAGCTCAGCATCTCACTGGTCAGTTATTTTTACTGTATATTGTTATACACGACGTTATATATATTTGAATACGGTAAATGTGATTATTAAGTTTGTCACTGTCTTGCACAGTAAGGTATAATACGTTCTACTGCAATGCAGGTAAGGTTTCAAATCATGCAGTGAAAATAGGGGTAGAATCTTTTACAGGAAAATTTATTTCATCAAATTTTAACACGTTGGAAGATCCCATAGGCGATCAAGAATGACCTGGCTCCCCGAAGTCCGCTCGAAACTCGGCTGATCTTGTGCTGAAGCTTAGGCGCTGGCTCAGGGTGGGGAACGTTGGAGGCAGTTTCAGATTCTGCTGCCTCTCCGACCTGAAACAATATGCGGTTATCGAAAATGACTGAATAATTGACGGAAATTTTAATGCCTTGAAGGTGGATCAAGTATGATTCGCAGTATCGGAAGCCTATTGCATGATAGCATTATTATTCGGTGGCATCCTGTAACGGATTGACGTTATGTTGAATAACATATTCTACGTGTTTTATACTGCAGTTCAATACAATATAAAATTATTTCTAATTTACGGTAGCCCAGCTTGTATTATTTTGTGAAGATTTTCACTAAGGAGTTAAATTTAGCCTTTAAAGTGGCAGAAAATGTCTTTGCTCCTTCCTACTTTTGATAATGAGCATTTTAAATAAGTTTAAGGCATTTTAAAATACCGAAAACAGATTTCTGTTACTTTTTGTGGTTTCTTGGAATTGTTCTGGATTCTGGACTTCGGTTCCGCTAAATTATTTTATGTCATTGTGTCTTAAAACCGAAAATGGATTCTTCTTTTCGTTTTTTGTTTGTTGGCGGACGAATAAGTTTTTAAAGAGTCCACAAACAAATAGTAGTCTAAACTGTACTAAAGTTATAATCTATATTACTGTGTAGAATTGAGCGCATCCGTACTTTCTTAGTCGTAATAAAAGGCCTTAAAGCCTTTGATTAATACACAATGCGGCATTATATGGTCTTTCGGGTGACAAGCCCATACCGACGTTTCGGACCGTCTCTCACGGATCGTCTTCAAGGTGAGGTAGCTGACTTTTAGGTTGGAGACGGTGATGTGGTTATATGCAGCAACTGATCATTTAGACTCCGAAAGCGAGGCAACTTTTTAGTAGTACTCTCCTGACTGTTTTACTTGAATCCTAGTCTATGACAGGGTTCTTCAGCATGCTGTGCTCTGGAACCGCAGATCCTTGCGTCTCCAGTTTTTATGAACGCCAGATGTCGCTCTCTCATGCCATTGCACCTTCACCCAATTTCGGTAGCGTAGTTATCCGCACAGAAAAGTTCATGCGGTATGTAATCCAGCTTTCTCTTGTTTCGGTGAAGTACCAATTTTGTATAGGGAGCGGCGTGATTAGTTTTGAGAGTTAGATACGGTCTTTTTTCGTATACATTAATTACTCATTTGATTTCTTCACTTTGATTCTTTACATGTGAACCGAGAGGAGTTTGGTTCTTGCGTCTGTACTGAGAAGTGCATCTTGCTTTCCGCTGGTTCTGCCCTGCTTCCATACATCTCTGATTACCTGTTTGATGGTGAAGACTCGGATATTTGATGTTATATACTAATTTGAGTGAGATAGATTCAATACAATCTTACGCTTAGTAGGTACATGGTTTAGATTCACTACGTTTGAACGGATACCGCATTGTGGAAGTTAAAACTGACGTTGTATCCGAATTAGATCTTGTCCTTGTATGCAACGTTTTTAATTTGCACCGTTCTGTTTACTTATACAGCCAGAGTAAGAAACCTTACCACGGTGTTCTATTTTGCAGGTAAATTGGATGTACTCTAATTCAGTGAGGTGGTTGTGGCAGTGTAGCCATACTACCGTTTTGCCGTCGAGGTATCTGTGCAATGTTTCTTGTTTTAACGCTTCTGATCCCATCGATGTATCTTCAGATTGCTCCCCATACTTTTCTGTCACCAATGAAGATGCCGGGATCCCATGGTGCAGACAGTGCCTGCTGTTACCAGTGCTTTGCAGTTACCAGCTAGATTTAGTCGAGTCATGTGCTTTTCAGAAAATCTGTTTCTGTCCAGTCCACTAGAAGGAGTGATTGCGAGTAGTTGTTTCTTGCTGGATTACCTCTAGTTTATTTCTTTGACATGATGGTAGACAGGTATACAAAGCATAAAGTACGAAACAACATGCACGGTTTGAGAAAGAAATTTTTTGCAATGATTATGTTGATGCTACCATTGGCACTTCATTTTAATGCGAATATGGTGCATCGAATTGCAGTTATATGTGAATAACGGAATTGTCAGGAGGGTATAAATTCAGGAGCAACGGAAGCAGCTGATTTGACAACGATTACTCTCAAGGTCAGGCAAGTTCATAACGTATCCGGTCCTGAAATCATTTTCTTAAGTAGTGCTCTACTCCTTGAAGCAGTGGCGTCGCTAAGCCTCCCCCGCCAAAATGTGGAATAAATTTTTATTTTTCTGGAACTTATGCGTCGTTTTCCTTTCCTTCACCTCAGGAGGAAGTCTTGAAAGCTGTCGTATGAGTTACTTCATTTAGGCCAACAGTTACAGTTTTGTCGTTCTCCCCATGTTTACTACAATGATAGCTGCTAATGGTGTTGATGAATTTTGTACATGATCTGCTAAGCGTTCATGACAAAGTTGGATTTTGCAGGTGAAATTGAAATTCCGACGAAATTCAGCCTGAAATTCGAACAGATCTATTTGTCAAAACCAACTCATTGGGAGAAAGACGGAGCCCCGGCACCGATGATGCCGAATGAAGCGCGTCTGAGAAACTTGACTTATTCTGCGCCTCTGTACGTCGATATAACGAAGACGATCAGCCGTGACGGCGAGGAGACGAAAAACATTAAGTACGAAAAAGTGTTCATCGGTAAAATCCCTATCATGCTCCGGTCTACGTACTGTTTGCTGAACGGACTGATGGACCGTGACCTGACGGAGCTAAACGAGTGTCCGCTTGATCCGGGCGGTTATTTTATTATAAACGGCAGCGAGAAGGTGTTGATCGCTCAAGAGAAGATGGCCACCAATACCGTGTACGTGTTCAACATGAAGGAAGGCAAGTACGCTTACAAAGCGGAGTGCCGTTCGTGCCTAGAAAACAGCAGTCGTCCAACAACCACCGTCTGGGTGAACATGCTGGCACGGAGCGGGGGTGGGGTGCACAAGAGCGCGACCGGTCAACGGATTCTGGCCGTCCTGCCGTACATCCAGCAGGAAATTCCGGTGATGATCGTGTTTCGCGCGTTGGGGTTCGTGGCCGATCGTGACATCCTCGAACACATCATCTATGACTTCGATGACCCAGAAATGATGGAGATGGTCAAGCCGTCGTTGGACGAAGCATTCGTCGTCCAGGAACAGAATGTGGCGCTGAACTTCATCGGCGCGAGAGGTGCGCGCTCTGGTGTCACCAAGGAAAAGCGCATCAAATACGCTCGCGAGATCCTACAGAAGGAGATGCTGCCTCACGTCGGCGTCAGTGACTTTTGCGAGACGAAGAAGGCCTACTTCCTCGGCTACATGGTACACCGACTGTTGATGGCGGCGCTTGGCCGGCGCGAGTTCGACGACCGCGATCACTACGGCAACAAACGTCTCGATTTAGCTGGACCTCTGCTCGCTTTTCTGTTCCGCGGTCTGTTCAGGACGCTGCTGAAGGAGGTGCGACTGGTCGCTCAGAAGTACATCAACAAATCAGGTGATTTCAACCTCGAACTGTGCGTGCGAACCAGCATCATCACCAAAGGTCTGCAGGTATGTGTTCCGTTTCGCCTCACCTCTGTGCGATCCTTCACTCAGCTCGCTCAACAATTTTTGTTTTAGTACTCGCTGGCCACCGGCAACTGGGGCGACCAGAAGAAGGCTCATCAGACCAGAGCTGGCGTATCTCAAGTGTTGAATAGACTCACCTATGCTGCAACGCTCAGTCATCTGCGACGACTGAACTCACCGATCGGCAGGGAAGGAAAGCTGGCCAAACCACGTCAGTTGCACAATACGTTATGGGGCATGATCTGCCCGGCTGAAACGCCAGAAGGCCAGGCCGTCGGTCTGGTCAAGAATCTGGCGTTAATGGCTTACATTTCAGTCGGTTCACAGCCTGCACCAATTCTCGAGTTTCTCGAAGAGTGGTCCATGGAAAATCTGGAAGAAATATGCCCTGCGGCCATCGCCACTGCCACGAAGGTTTTTTTACCGTTGTTAGCCTTAAGCTTTTACATAGGTTTTTAGCGGGACGTTTGTAATATTCTGAGTAACATGCACCGCTCATGACTGACATATAATCAAACCCTTATATAACGGTGAATCGAGGAACCGAGAATCTTCGTGACGAAGTGCAGCCTGCGTTGTTCGATCATTTCAGGGATCTTGACAGATTCCTTCATACATCGGTTGTTCTGTGATCCTTTACTCCGTTCTCAGCGATGTAGACGCCGATGTAAGATCTGAGAAGGGCAGTGATGTGTACTGCTACGCTTTGATTAGAAGGTTTACATCCATTGGCTATTGTCGATCATCTGTTTGGTAGCAGCTTTTATATAGCAGGTATAGTTATCATTTTGTTTTGATTACGGCTAGCATTATGAGTAAATCTCTAGGCATCCAAAAAGGTGACAGGTGAACAGTCTTCCAAGACGTATGACATCTGTTACCTGTCGATACAGTTTGACCTGGAATACGGTTCTCTTGGATTATGGTGGAAAGTTTGAATCAGGCAGCTGATCGAAGACTTCCCCGAAATTAAGGGGGCTTCCCGACAGGGTATTCATTCTCTGACTAAATTTTCACTCCATAAAATCAGTAGAATTCAAGCAATGCCTATAGTTCCAGTTTTTTCGATTTAATTATCTGCACTAGATTCATTACATCTTCTGGCGATATGGAAAATCTTCAAATGCTGTGAGATACCTAAACACATCTTTAACATTTTGAAAGAAATTCATGCAGAAACCATGTCTTCATTCAGAGTATAAGGAAGGTTATCTGAGTGGTTCTCTATTAACCGTGGAGTTTAGAACATTTGCTTTCGCTTTTGCTTTTCAACATTGTTGTCGACTTTCTTCTCTGAAACAGTGCCAATGAGGCGAAGACGAAGATCTCATTCTATAGGAAAAGTGCAGTTCAAGATATCTGACTAGATATCTTGCTGACCTGGAAAATGCAGATGATATTCCGATACTGAGTAGTATAGGGAGCTGCTTGTCACCTGATAACTTCTGTTTACAGCATAGCTGCAAAAGTCTTCCTATGACCGAAAGGCCATAATTATTAGG